GAATTATGCTAAATCTACTCTGCCTCTGCTCTAGAACTGGAACAATAAAGTCTGGATGACAGTACATCTATTTACAACGTGTTTGGCTTATTGCATATTTTAAGCCCAGTGTTGAGATCTACTGCTCAGGAAAAAAAATTCCTTTCAAATATTACTGTTCGTTGACAATGCACCCAGTCACCCAAGAGTTCTGACTGAGATGGACAATGAGATTAATGCTGTTTTCATGCTTGCTAAGACAACATCCATTCTGCAGCCCATGCATTAAGGAGTAATTTTGATTTTCAAGTTGTATTATTAAAGAAATACATTGCATAAGGCTGTAGCTGTCATAGATAGTGATTCCTCTAGTGGATCCAGGCAAAGTAAATTGAAAACCTTCTGGAAAGAATCTACCATTCCAGATGCCATGAAAAACATTCATGAGGCATAGGAAGAGACTGAAATACTAACATTAACAGGAGTTTTAGAAGTTGATTCCAACCTTCCTGGATAACTTTGAGGGATTCAAGACTTCAGTGGAGAAAGTGACTGTGGGATGTTGTGGGAATAGCGAGAGAATTAGAATCGGGAGCCCGCGGGTGCCTGGGTGGCTCAGTCAGTTGAGTGTCCAACTCTTGATCTTGGCTCAGGTCATGATCTCACAGTTCATGGGACTGAACCCCACATTGGGCTCTGCATTGACAGCTTGGGATTCTCTCTCCCTCTCTCTCTCTGCCCCTCCCCTGCTTGTGCACACACCTCTCTCTCTCTCTCAAAAGAAATAAGCTTAAAAAAAAAAGAAGTGGAGCCTGGAGATATGACTGAATTGCCGCAATCTTATAATAAAACTTTAATTGATGAGGAGTTGCTTCTTATGGATGCATAAAAAAAATTGGTTTTCTTGAAATGGAACTACTCCTGGCGAAAATGCTGCAAAGATTGTGGAAAAGAAGACAAAAGATATAGAATATTACATAAATTTAGTTGATAAATTTAGTTGATAAAGCATCAGGTTTGAGAGGATTGATTTCAATTCTGAAAGAAGTTCTACTGTGTATAAAATGCTATCAAACAGCACTGCATGCTACAGAGAAATTGTTTGTTGAAGGAAGAGTCAGTTGATGTTGCAAGTTTTGTTGTTGTCTTTTAAAAAAGGCACAGCCACCCAGCCTTCAGCAACCACCACCCTGATCAGTCAGCATCCATCAACATGAAGGCAAGACCCTCCATCAGCGAAAGATTACCACTCACTGAAAGCTAGATGATGGCTAGCACTTTTTAGCAATAAAGTATTTTTTAATAAAGGTATGGACGCCATTTAGACATAATGCTATTGCACACTTAATAGACTACAGTATAGTGTAAACACAACTTTTATATGCACTAGGAAAACAAAAATTTCATTATAATCGCTTTATTGTGATATTCTGGAACAGAACCTGCAATACCTCCGAGGTATGCCTATAACGCACTTTGGGTAAAGTTCCGAAAGTCACAGAGTAATACCACTTCATATTGCTAGCAGCTTATAGTGTGTATTTTCAGAATCACACCTATCAAATTACATTTCAGCATCTAACCTTTAGAAGGCAGTCAATACATATTTGCTCAGTGAAACAAAATGGAATAAGTTATGTATATCACTATTTCTCAAAGGGAGACTATTGGCATTTTGAGTGAGACAATTAGTTGCTATAGGAAACTATCTCTGAATTACAGGACATTTAACCATACTGGCCTCCAGAGCACTAAATACCAAACACACCCCCAGTTGCTGTGTACCCCACCTCCTGAGGGGTTCTAAATGCCTGAGGGGAAGAGGGCAATCACCTAGAATCACTCATAGGTATAAATTAATGATATGCAAATTAAAAAAATTTTTTTTTTAACGTTTATTTATTTTTTTGGGACAGAGAGAGACAGAGCATGAACGGGGGAGGGGCAGAGAGAGAGGGAGACACAGAATCAGAAACAGGGTCCAGGCTCTGAGCCATCAGCCCAGAGCCCGACGCGGGGCTCGAACTCACAGACCGCGAGATCGCGACCTGGCTGAAGTCAGACGCTTAACCGACTGCGCCACCCAGGCGCCCCAATGATATGCAAATTAAAAGGAATTTACAGTATAAAATCCTCACTCTGTTTTTGTATAAAGTCAATTCTTCTCACTATTTTTTAAATGTTTATTTATTTGTTTTGAGAGACAGAGAACACGAGTGGGGGAGAGGCAGAGAGAGAGAGGGAGAGAGAGAATCTCAAGCAGGCTCTGCACTGAAGTGTGGAGCCTGACCCAGGGCTCGAACTCCTGAACAGCAAGATCATGACCTCAGCCCAAATCAAGTATTAGATGCTTAACTGACTGAGCCACCCAGGTACCTCTAAAATCCTTACTCTTTTTAAAAATTTTTTTATTATTTTTTCCTTTAAGTTTATTTATTTATTTTGAGAGAGACGGAGCACAAGCTGAGGAGGGGCAGAGAGAAAAAGAGAATCCCCAGAAGACTCCGCAGGGTCAGTGCAGAGCCCAATGTGGGGCTTGAACTCACAAAACGGTGTGATCGTGACCTGAGCCGAAGTCAGATTCTCAACCGACTGAGCTACCCAGGCAACCCTAAAATCCTTACTCTTAAGGAAATCACAATTTAGGAAAGTCAAGTCATACTACTTTTTAAAAATGTTTTCTAAAGTGTGTGCCTCATGTTTACAGATTCAGAACAACTATTTTTGGATCTGTTATGCCAATAAGAAAGTTAGGACCTAAAGAAGCTTTTTCAGAATGGAAAAAAGTTATGTTGATGAACAACAGAGTAGGTTCCCTTTATTGGAACAAAATAGAAGACGACATTATGTAAGGTAAAAATAGCAAACTGTAATGAGTGCTAAATTTGCCAGGCAATATTCTGACCACGTTGTGTATATTATCTCAGCTAATCCTCACAGCAATTCTATAAGGTAGCTACGGATATCATTCACATCTTGCAAATAAGAAAATGCTTCCTAGAGAGATCATACAACCTGACTAGACCACGGAGATCCAAGTAGCTGAGCTAGGACTTAAAAATGACTGAAGTTAATTCCATAAAGCTGGTCCTCAAAGGCTACCAAAGTGTTTCATCTCCGCCTTGCCCTTCACAAAGCCCTTCATAAGCCATTCCACTTGAAACTGTTTAGGTAGATTTCCAACTCCAGGTTTTTTGCTGGCAAAATGTTGAAGCAACTTTATGGCTAAATTGTTTATAAACTTTTCTTTCATTTAAGAAGAAACTAGAGTCTAATATTTGATTGGCATGGTTAGTGATTATGGCCACCTTATGCTGAGTTTTTTGGCAAAAACCTTAAACTTCCTTGCAAAACCTTAAACAATCATCCACCTTCTCTGTGTTTGATCATCAATAGCTAAATCCTTCTAGTAAATCTAAAACACAAAAAAGCAGAAGGTACCACTATACACCCATAATCATTAACCTCATCTGAGTCCTCAATACTGCTCACTACTGCTCACAGCCTTATTATATTTGTCTAGTTAGTTCAGTCTCTTACTTTGAAAGGGTATCTCAAATATTCCTCTCTCTCCATGGACACCTGCATGCCCCCTTCACTCACCTCTTTTTCTTTTTTTTTTTTAAATTTTTTTTTTTTCAACGTTTATTTATTTTTGGGACAGAGAGAGACAGAGCATGGACGGGGGAGGGGCAGAGAGAGAGGGAGACACAGAATCGGAAACAGGCTCCAGGCTCCGAGCCATCAGCCCAGAGCCTGACGCGGGGCTCGAACTCACGGACCGCGAGATCGTGACCTGGCTGAAGTCGGACGCTTAACCGACTGCGCCACCCAGGCGCCCCAGTCACCTCTTTTTCAAGAGCTGAGTTTCCCTATGTTATTTAAGGAAAATGGAAGTCTTCATAAAGAGCTTTTGCAATTTTCTACCAACAGAGCTAAGTGTCTGACTGAACCCATACCCATTCTTTCCTCTTTTCTTCCCGTCACAACGGAGCAAACACCTCTGCGGTGGAGGTGGGAAGGACTACCTTTCCATATGCTTTCGCACCCACACCCTGATTCTTTCTCAAATATCATAGCAGTTTTCTTCATATCTACAATCTTTCTTTCTTTACTAAATCCTTTCTCTAGGTATTAAAACATGCTCCCAGGGGCACCTGGGTGGCTCAGTTGGTTAAGAGTCAGCTCCTAACCAACTTCACCTCAGGTCATGATTTGAGGTTTGTGAGTTCAAGCCCCATGATGGGCTCTGTGCTGACAGCTCAGAGCCTGAAGCCTGCCTTCAGCTTCTATGTCCCTCTCTCTCTCTCCCCCTCCCCTGCTTGCTCTCTCTCTCCCCCTCCCCTGCTTGCTCTCTCTCTGTCACTTAAAAACAAATAAACATTAAAAAATGAAAAAAAAAAGTGCTTCCAGCATTCTTATCCTAATAATAACAAAAAAAAACCTTAAATCTTACAAGTATGTCACTTGACCCCAAGATTCTGTCACCCACCATCGTCTTCTTACTCCCTAGTAACCTACCTACCATTCACAGCCAAACTCAGGAAAGAGCTGTGTGCCATCAGTATCTTTACTTCCTCATTTCTATTTACCCCTTTACTTACTCTGGCCTGGTGCAACCACACTCTAGTCCGTTATCAGCTCCCTATTGCAATGTCCAATGGGCACTCTTGATTCTCATCTTGTTTTCCCTTTAAGCAACCTGTGGCCCTACTCCTGCCTACTTGAAATCTCCTGTTCTCTTAGCTTCTGTGACTCTACTTGCTTGATTTGCTTTTTTCTTTCTAGTCCTTCATTCTGTGTTGTCTTTGCTGGTTTCTCCCTACTAGTCCACCTTTAAATACTAAATTTTTCTCAGGACTCTGTCCTAGGACCTCTTATCTTACTCTCTACTCTTTATCCCTCAATGGTCTCATCCACCTCAATGGATTCTAATACCACCTCTATGAGAGTTATTCCATATTTGTGTTTAGATGAGGAAACTGATGTCGCTCAATACTAAATCATGACAATAAGCTTACCTGTAGATGTGCAAGTGTTTTCCCAAAAGCTTTTCTTTGTCTAACGTAATTCCTGGTTTCTTCGAACATGAATTCACTGGCTGAAAGTCCCATTTCAGCAATCACTAGCCTTTCCTATAACCCAAAATTAGGTCTTAAGCATCATTCTAATTCCACAAGATTTTGATGATAATAAATTCAATAAATAATCGTTATAAAACTCCTAAAAGTTAATTTATTTCTTAATTCTATAAAAAAATGCTCCCATAGATTTATAAGAATATTGGACATAGCCATAGTAATTCTTTAAAACAAATCCTTTATTTTTATAAATGTCTGTCTTTACTACATATACATATATACAAAATTTATTTAATTCCTTCATCAGTCATCTATGAGAAAAGAAATATGAAATTGTTGACTTTTATTTATTGATATTCTAATAGGTCTATGGAAATCAACCTTTTAAAGCGGATAGGTTAAATTCTGCCTACTAGTATCCATGGTCAGTTTAAATCCATCTTGCTGGTGATTTTTATATTCTATTCTATTTCCATGGCAGTATTCCTAACCTTGTCCCCAATTTAGCCCAGGCTGTGGCAATCACTAGACAAACGCACCTATGTTTCTATGCTGGCATGTGAGGTTCAACAATCACATAGGCACCACACTCCAAAAACACAGATGTGAGAGCTAACTATGATGGACTAAAACTTTCCGGTATGATGATTCCTTGGTATCATCAAAAAAAAAAAAAAAAAAAAAAAAAAAAAAAATTCTGCCAAATATTTTGGCTGATATTTCCTTACAAGGAGATAAGAATTCTTGACTTGTAGTTAAGAAGCTAAAATCATTGTAAGAAGGTATCACAGAACTAAAATACCTAATTTTCCTAGTCATTTATAAGCTTTGATTGGATATCCTTGAGTTCAGTTATTTACTTATCTAGGCTACAAAACTCAGGTTTTTTGTTGGTTGGTTGGTTGGTTTATGTAGTCTCCACACCCCACAACGTGGGGCCTGAACTCATGACCCTGAGATCAAGATCTGAGCTGAGATTAAGAGTCAGATGCTTCACTGACTGAGCCATCCGTGCACCCCAAGAAGTCAGGGTTTTTTTCAACTTTAACTTTACTCAAATGATTGGCTATGTCACAAGTTTTATATGCACGAATTTACATAGTTCTATTTCATACCACTTTATTAACTAATCAAAAGATGGAATATTTAATAATTCTGACCTGTGGAAGTTCTTGCATGAGGTGATAGAAGCCTTTATTCTCTTCTCCAAGTAGGGCACTAGCTGGTAACCGTACATCCTCAAAGAATAATTCTGCAGTATCCTAAGGGATCACACAATTAAGTACAGAATGATCTCACTTAAATCTCACAACACTCTAATGAGGTGACTATTATTTCCATTTAAGAAAACAAAAAGAAGAACAAAAGAAACTGGAAGCCAAGTTGGAGTAGTTAATGAATACATCTAGTAGGTAATAAACCACGGATTCAAACCCAGATCCATTTGATTCTAAAAATTTGTGGCTTTCCCACTGCAATACACTGTCATTTTTCCTTTTGGTAATGAAAAAAAGCTACCAAATAATTACCAAATAATAGAAAAATATTTTCTGCTTTTATTCCATAATTTTCTTCAATCAATTTAATAGAAGGTCTATTAACATATAATTTTGCCATTTCTGAAGCAGATATTCAAAATATGCTGATTCACTTCCACTGCTGAACAACAGAGATAATTTAGATAAATGGAATAAATCTCTCTTACCATTTCTTTTCTTTCTTTTTTTTTTTTTTTTT